CTTCAACCTCCTTAACCAATGGGATTATGGTAGGGGATGGGTCTGGCATGTTCCATAGCTCTCCCTCCCAGTCAGTTAGTTCTGCTTTTTAATTGCTTAATCTCATTTTGGCAAAATTTCTAAAAAATAGTGGTGTATTTTATTGTGTCTTTACCTTTTAAACAAAGCTTATATTGTGTAGTTTACATTTTTAAATACAGCTATTTGTGGCTTCTTTCCCTTAAAATCCAGTAGTGCAGAAGATGAAAAGAAGAGTGTGACATTTGAGACATTCTTCACAGCATGTAAATCCAATGTGGCAAGTACAAGTAGTAAAAGCACTTGATCTGTTCTGTATTTTGCAAATTTTAGGGAACCATGTATTGAGGAAAGATCCATTCAAAAGTATATTGATCATCAATACTGTTTTGGTAAAATATATGTAGCCATTTTCCTTGATCCTTGATATCTGTTTTGTAACATCTTTTCCAGCTATTGATTGTAAAGCATAATTTTTGCAAATTTGGGCAAATCCCATCATGGCTTCTTTGCACACTCTCCAATGTTTATCTAATGCTCACTCTCTCACAAAATTAAGTAAATGATCATTGACCAGAAGAATATCTTTTTTAGCAACTATAACTGCAGAGATGATAATATTATGTCTAATAGCTTCTTCCTTATAGTCATGAAACCTCATTTTAAAATATTATGTTAAATCCTTTGCTAAATCGGTGGTTCATGAGACAACGACTAGCAAATTTCACAGATTCCAGGTGGATTGGTACATGGATATCATTAAACCTGCTTAAGCACTGCCAAAGTGGTTTGTTTTGAGAAGCCAATTCTGAATCCTTTGCCCTGAACATTTTTGCTAGTAGTTTAACAACTTGGAGTCCTTCCTCAATATAGTTTCTCTTTAATTTAAACTCAAGCTGGGGAAAAACAGAGAGCAGCAGTTGACTATCAATATTGTAGAGCTCCAAAATTAAGTCAAACACATGTTCTGACAAATAACTGATAGATATTTTCCCCAGCATCAGATCCTGATTTAAAAAAAAAAATGGTAATATATGGTTTAATAGTTTGAGTTGTCCTCTTCAGTAAAGACTTGCCAAATCATATACTTGCTTGTTTAAATTCTTATTGGCAGGCACCAGATTTACTAAAAAGGTGTCCAAAAGCTCCTGAGACACTGTATCACCTTCACAAATAATAGAGCTCATGGGGTCTACCATGTGCATATGAACTTTCTGATTATGCCCATTGTTTATAACTGAAAATAATGTTCTGTATAATTAGGTAAAAATTTCATTGCTGTCTTCTAACTCAATGCATTGTTGTATGACTTGACCCAAGCAATGTTCTCAAGTAAATAAAAACATCTATTGTATTATGGGCTCTTTGTATCCTCCAACCCCTTCAGCTGCCTTGTTATAAACATAAATATATCCTTTAGTTTATCCGGGGATGTGTAAGAAGCTTCAGGAGCATAAATCCTGAAAATATTGGCAAGGCAGCAGGCCATCAGTAAATGAACATCTTTATCAGGAGGCTTAAGGAAACAATCTGAAGCAAGATGTAAAGCTATGTTTAGATAAAGCTCTTTTTCTTTTTCAAAGTCCTAGTCCATGTCCTTGAAAGTTTTCACAGTCATCTTTAACCATCTCACCATCTCCTCTTTAGATATTTTATCTGAGATTTCCTTGACACTAGGATGATAAGTAATTTTTTCATCATTGGTCCTGGTCTTTGAATAAGCCATAATGGAAAATTTTTTTACCCCTCCTGGTGAGTTAGACACTCAGAGGGGTAAAAATATTTACCCTTTCACTCCTTTCACTCTACTGCTCCCCAGGATCCACCACCATATCCAATTGCCTATCCATAGTTTTTGATTATGTATTTATCAGTTGAAACATGCATGGACTGTACACAGCTGTAATATACATAATTTATACATTGTAGGTAATATTAAAACACATTGAAAGGAATTGCTTAGAAGGAATATTGAAAAGGAAGAAATGAAGAAATAAACAAAAGTGCTATTTCCCTTATTCTAATGAATTATACATGTGCTTT